TTTTGTTTATATTGTTGATGTAGCTTGGTTGCTTTTTGCTCGGTATGACAAGTTAGTTGGTGTGTCCTTCAGGTCCTCTCAGGGTAGTGGGCGGGTCTGGGTAGTAGGTAGGTGGCAGATCAGGAGAGGGGGCCAAGGGAAAGACAGGCATGGGGATAGCCAGTGGAATGTCTGCCAAAGGAAGCTGGAGAATTGACCTAGGCTGAGTAGGAGGGATCATGCTGCTGTGGGCAGGTCTGGACTAAAAGGGTAAGCTAGAATCTGGGGTGGAAAGAGCAGGATCCTGCCTGGCACACAGCTAGAGTGGGAACCAAGTGCAGGGAGAGAGTGGAGTTGCTCAGGCTGCTGGGCAATCGAGACAGTGGGCAAGGTCTGACTTACCGGGGTAGTATGCAGGTCTGTGGCAGGCTGACCAGGAGGCAGGGGGCAAGTTGGGGGTGTGGACAGCCTGCTGAGGATCTAACACACTGTGTAGAGGATTAAGCTAGTCTGGGTTAGGAAGCTAGTCCAGAGATCTGTAGTGGAAGTGCAGGAGCAGGCCTGGGCCCAAGGCTAGAAGGGGGACAGAGTGCAGGTAGGAAGTGGAGCTGCTTACACTCTAGGGGAATCAAAAGAACATTTTTTAGATGACTTGTAACAAATTTCTATTAAGTAATCAAATTTAAATCTTCTGGTATCATGCTTATTTCTATATATAGATAGTTTAAAGTGCTTTAAACAGTTTTTAAGGTACCTCAGGTTTAGTCTATATTCCCTTTCCTAAGTTGATTGTATTTGATATATTGGGATAAAAACAATTGAGAGAAATTTGTATCAGTGTATTTTAAATTCCCAGTAACTGAATGACTCTATTCTTAGGATTTCTTAGAGATATTTGCATGAAAATTTCTTTCCTTCTTTTTTTTTTTTTTGTTTTTTTTGTCTTTTTGAGACAAGGTCTCCCTGTAGTCCCAGCTGTCCTGGAACTCACTATGTAGACCAGACTGGCCTTGAACTACCTGGCTGGGCCTGAACTCACAAAGATCCGCCTTCCTCTGCCTCCCGAGTGCTGGGATTAAAGGCGTGCACCACCACACTCCCCTCCTTTTTTTTCTTTTAATTGATTTTTTTTGTGTATTTCATACAGAGCATCCCAAACAATCTTATTCATCTTTATACCCACATCCCAAATGGCACCCTCCCATAGCCCCCCCTCCCTTACTGGAGCCCATATACTCTCATCACTGTTACCATCCACTGTGTTGTCAGTGCCCCCAGCCGTTTTCCAGCGCAAGTCCATCCACTTAGTCTCGTCAGCCTATCTATAGTCCCTGGTTTTAAAAAGATCAGCTCTTCCTCATCTAGCAGCAGTCAATTGCCAACATTCATTTAGATAAGATTGGGGTCTGCTGTTCATTTTCCCAGTTCTGTGCTGGGTTACTGTCTGGGAGTTCAAATTTATTTCTTAGAGATGTTGCTCTGAAGTTTTTGAAAGATATTATGATCAGTGAAATATCATTAGTCCATATTTTAAGTAGTCTGTGTCTGTACTATATAAACTTGTTACATGTTCCTTTATCAATATGTTTTCTAGGAACCAGGTTTTAGAATAGTGAATACTAATTTGGAATGCTATCCTCCAATATTGAGTGTGTAATTAGAGGTTACATTCTTTATTACAGATAAGCAACAATTAATTTTAACACCAACAAAAAAAGGTTCCAATTAGTTATAATAACTGTAAGCCTATTTTAATATAAAAAATGAAACAAAGTTTACCAAATACATAGATTATACAAGGGTCTTTGCACTCACGGACTCACAGTGACTGTGATTCTTGCACAAAATCAAGCCAGTCAAAATTCCAGCATGAGGGCAGGAGGGTGACTTGTTCTGAAGCACACTTGCTGCTCTTACAGGGGACTCAGCTTTGCTTCCAGCACTCATGATTGCTCACAAGCATCTGGAGCTGCAGGCACCAGGCATACATACGGTCCACACATGTGCATGGAAGCAAACGCTGACACACATAAAAATGATAAATAAATAATAAAATTTTAATTCCAGCATGAATGGGGAAGAGGCTACTTGGGAGATTGCAGTTGAATAGAAGGTCCAGAAGCAAAGAAGTGTAAAGAAGTAGGGAAGGAATATTGGAAAATAGAGTTATTATAGAACGCTTTGTTAAAGGGATCTGGAATTTTATTTATTTTTATTTTATGTGTATGTGTGTATTGCCTGCATGTAGGTAAGTGTACCCATGTCATGTAATGCCCATGGAGGACAGAACAGGCTGTTGGATCCCTTGGAACTAGAGTTATGGACAGTTGTTAGCTGCCTTGTGGGTGCTGGGAGTCCAACTCAGGTCTTCTGCAAGATCAACCAGTGTTCTTAACCACTGAGCCATCTCTCCAGCCCTGGGATCTGGTATTTTAATGAAAACCAAACTAATATTATCTAATTCTCTGTTGGTTAATATGGTTAACTATTGTGAAGACCCTCCAAATTAGTTTATCTTCAAATACTGTTCTAATGTGCATATTCTAAGCATTACATGAGATTGTCTTACAAATATTAAGCTATATTGAAAATTAAGTATAAAAATCAATATAGCTTTTTCTTAGCTTTAAAAAATACTCAACAGGGAAATAAACTGAAGTTGAATACACTCTAGTGCTTATTATAATTATTATTTTATTTTTGTCTTTAGTAATACTTCATTATCATACTCCCAATGATAATCTTACCTGGAACTTGGCTAGATATTTTATATTGTCACAGGCACAGTCTTTGTTCTTCCAACTGTTTTTTTTTTTTCAATTTTGAATACATGGAAGATTTAACAGTTTATATAGTAGCTTAAATTTGTAAAAGTCAAGTTTGTTTAAATGTTTAGAAGCATAGTTTTTCGTTGTAGGAATGCCATGATATCAAATTAGGACTTTAAAAACATTTTAGGGATTAGGGAAATGGCTCAGTGGGATTATGTATGTATTAGTTACTTTTCTGCTGCTGTGATAAAATAACATGACCAAAAGAAACTTAAAAAAGGAAGAGTTTATTTGGGCTTGTGGCTCTGGAGGGGGAGTCCATAACGGCAAAGAATACAGGGCAGCAGGTGGCCAGAACAGGAAGTTGGCTGATTATATTTCATTATGGCGCGTGGGTTTTGCGGAGCACCAGCTGCTGGCCGGCGCCTGTCTCTCGCGCATGTGTCGTGCACCATGTTGCTGAGGGTCTCCGCGGCTACTGGATGCTGGCGACTCTACTGGTCACTGCGCTTCCAGGCGTGTTCCGTTCCAATCTACTGGGCACTCCCTCTAGGTTCGAGATCCGTCAGCCGCAGGATCACGAGGGGAGGTGCGGGAACGGCTAAAGCAGGGTCTTCGCGAGTCGTTGTTTCTGAAGGGACAGCCCCCTCCAGGGAGACTGAATGGTAGGCAGTAGGACACAGAACTCAGTCAGACTCAGTGGTACCGCTCCTTTATTCAGTGACTCAGCTCGGCTCCAGGTCTTAGTGATTCAGCTCCGATTAATTAGCGGAAACCAGGATATTTATACTGTGGGGGCAGTAGTAAAAGCCTTAGTGGATAGGTGCTTTGTAGGATGCCCCATTTACATGTGGTGGTGGGCTTCTGCCAGGCTGTCAGACATTGCCTGATTATCACACAGGAAAACCTGGCAGTTCCTATGCCAGAGGCCATGTATCTGTGACGGCTACTTCAAAGATGAGTCAGGAACAGAGTAGGGGGCGGCCTGCTGAGAAAAGGAGTCCTTCCATTTGCGCCGAGCCGGCATGCGGCTATCTGGACATGGAAAGACTACAACCCAAAACAGCAGGAGTCCCCAACATTTCATCACACAGGAAGCTGAGAGAGGGAACTAGAAATAGGGCAAGGATGTAAACTCTCAAAGCCTGCCCCTACTAATGTACTTCCTCCAGTAAGGCTTCATGTCCTAAAAGTTCTATAACCTTCCTCAACAGCACCACCAACTGGGTACCAAGTATTGAAGAGCATGAGCCTGTGGGGGACAGTTTCATTAAGGCCACCACACAATGCAAGTCTGAGGACCTGGGTTCAAACCCCAGCACCCATGTAAAAACCAAGCGTGGCTGTGTGTGCCTGGAACCGCAGCACTAGGGCAGTGTGTATGTGTGCATGTGTGCGTGCGTGCGTGTGTGTGTCTGTGTCTGTGTCTCTAGGCAGTCAGATTCCAGGAACTCCTTGGCCAATCTGTCTAGCTGAAACATAGAGCTTCCAGTTCAGTAAGAGACCCTGACTCAAGGGAATAAGGCAGAGAGCAGTGAGAGAGGAAGATACTTGAGATCCTCCTCTGGCTTCAGTATGTACACACTACAGTCACACACACACAAAGTTAAAAATATATTTGGTTATCATTGCTGTGTAGTAATCTAGCATACCTTTGGGTGTTTAGTGGTAAGACATTTTTATTGCACAGGATATTTAGGCTTAAATGGCAGAAACATGACTGGAAAGTACATGTTAGATATGTTTCTGTCAGCATCTGCTACTGACAGGTGCTCAGTGATCGTTGGTATCCTTGTCAACAAAGAGAATCCTTTGACATTAAAGTTGCCTGCTCAGTTCTGATTTGGGGTGACTCTATTGGCAGTTCCATCAGGCTGCAGCTGATAAATGTCAGAGCTACTGCTGCCCCCCCCCCCGTCACACACACATTTACTGTTAACCGTACTTTCAGATGTTTACCTTAAAATTAAATGGGTAGGTCACAGGGACCATAGGTGTCTTTAGGGTGTGCAAAACCACTTACTAAGTGGTGACTTATATGGAGGCTAGTAATGATTACCTTGGACTCAGCCAATCAGTGGTGGGAGCACCTGGGGACTTGTTAAATGGCATTTGTGGAATCTGTATCCTGGGTTTTCAGGTGTATTTCAGGAAAATCGGTGTCAGCCTTTAATGTCTAATTGACCTCTTCTCTTTGTTTCACATTCATTCACTTCCTTCGTTTGCCTCTGATGTGGTCCCTGACGGCAGCAAACAGCACTGCTCAGCATTTTGAACTTCTGTTCAGAGCTTCGGCACCTCAGTTTGGGCAGTTGTGTGATGGTAAGCATTTGAAAATTCTTTGTGTTCAATGGCTTGTCCTCTTATTCCCATAAGTGAGCTTTATGCTGACCCACCCCACCCTGTAGTTTCTTTGATTTATCTTTAACTAGTTCAATCTGATATTCAAACATTTTTCCTTAAATTGGAGGGTATGCATCTCAACGTGAAGACCCATAGGCAATAAATGGATGCTGAGGGAAGGAGAATCTGTTTTCTCCAGGTCTACCTCCCTCAGAGGTTGGCTAATCCCAAATGGGCATCTCTAAACACTGGTACACGTGAGCACCACTAAGTGGACTCAGTGCATATATATATATATATATATAAAATTGAGAGGGAATTGGGAGAGAACACGGGAGGAGGTGGAGGATATACATGTGTGTTTATAAGTGTATGTATGTATATGTAACAATAATCAATGACAAGGACAAGAAGTTGAGAGGGAGTGGGGGGACATGGCAGGAGCTGGTGGGGAGCCATTTGGGGACTGGGAAAGATGGAAATAATGCAATGATAATATTCATGTATAAAATTCTCAAAAGTTAAAAAAATTAAAATTGAAAACAAATTGGGGGTGTGTGTTTGAAACACTGAACTTTGTCCACAAGAGCAAAGGAATATAGTCTGGTGGAAAGTGTTTACTCTGTCCACTAAGATGCTTTTCAGATAAGCATTGAGCTATCTAGACTCCCTTACAGAAAATTCTGTGCATATCCAGATGTCAGTAGTTTAGTGAGATTTTTTAAAAAGCTATTTTTTTTTCTGTGATTAATTCTTGGGAAGGTTGGTTGACTTTGCTTGATTCCTTGGGGATTTTTACTCCTTTACTGGGCACAATATAAAGATTCTTGTCCCATGTTAGAACTCGGTTGTTTTTTAGTCTTTTTTTTTTTTTTTAATTTTACTGGTCTGTGAAATCCAGATGCCTAATTCTTACATTAGACAATCTCTAAAGTCTTTCAAGATTGAAATTGCCATTTTCTATGTCCCTGAAGGAGTTCATGATAAAATTAACTTTGTTTTCATCTAAACTACATAATTAAATGGCTTATAAATAACACTGAGACTTAAGGTACAATTAGTTAACTCTTGAGGTATGTGTATGGACACATGAATATGCCAAGATGTGAGTCTTCCTGTGAAACAATCCATTACTTTTCATGTCTTCCAATGTCTACAACAAAAGCAGATTTAGGAGATTCCCAAACCTGACTGGTATTACATCCACTTAGTAGCAAGCCCTGAATAAGCAGGATGGTTACCATATTCTAGAGAAGTTTGGTATCCTAGGTTTAGAATCAACAGGCAGTTCTCTGACTTAGATCTTATTTGGACATCTATTTATCTCCATGTCTCCATGGTCGATAATGCTCATAGTTAGCCTTGTTAAATTGCAAGTATAGACCCAGATCCTTCCAGTTTCCTGAAACAGTCTTAGGAACCCACTAGATTCCCCTTACTGCAAGTAAAATTTTTACCTTTGTAAGCCATTTCATAGTCTTTTTTGAATCCCTCTAGTGGCTCTTCTAGATGAGCCCAATGGCACTTAATGGCAGTTTCTATGACAACAAACCAGCCACTTGGCTCTTTGCGTATTGCTAGCCTGCCTTGGTTAGATTGGTAAGGACCCTGATTCATTTTGCTGAAAAAACCCTGTTCTGTTTGTTATTTCCCTTTTCTTCCGTTGGAGCAACATTCTCTGGAAAAGCAGTCCTCTAACCACAGAACAGTTTGAGTTGGAATTGTGTGTGTGTGTGTGTGTGTGTGTGCGCGCACACGTACACATTGCATATATTTTAACTCATTATTTTCCAAAATGGATATGTGGAAAATTAGACCTAAAAATATTCAGTTACAAAAAGCTTTACATGTGAGGGCAGAGCAGGGATTTCTGATCAAAATTAGGAAGTGACACTGTTGTGTTTTCCTTTTGGAGTTTTACCCCATGAATTGTTAAGCAAAGCAAGGTTTGCCTTGGCTTAATTCCATGCTTTCCAACCTTCCCTGAACACTGAACCCACTTTTCCATGTTACATGTACTGTGAGAAATGCTGCTTTAGAGATACAGGCTGCTTTAAGTTGAAATGTGTAGTTCACACTTCAACAGGGAGCTACTATTACTATGAACCACCTCTTTCTAACCCTTTAATCCTCTTGTAGCCACTGGTAACAGCATTTTTCGTAAGATTTCAGAAGCTTCAGTTTTCCCTCCAATTAAAGACAATTCTTTTTAAATAAATACTTACAAAAAATTTTAATTGAATTTTTGTGATTTTCATGCGATATAATTTATGGTACTTAGGTCCTCCTTATCCATACCTCCTGTTACTGCTCCCTGCCCAACTTAATGTGCTCTGTGTCCCCGAATATCCTTCACTATGGTTCTTTAACTGGTGCCTGGTTAACCTTCTAAAACTCACTCCTTGTAAGAGACTGATCATCAACCTTACCCAGCTGTGAATTTTGTGAACCAACTTTTTTTCTTTAAGAATACAAATCTACTTTTATGTACTTGCCATTAGTTTAAGTTATTGAGGAAGAGCACAGCATCACATGGAGTCTGTGTCCAGCAGCCTCTGTAGGAAGATTACTTCAGAATTTGGTGAAAACCATGTCACCATTTCCAATTACCCTTCTGCAGAGTACTCTGGTTTTGTTTGAACGGCCATCTGTGCTGTTTTTCGCTTGGTTCACATAAACACATCTCTTGCCCAAGGAGAATTTGAGTTTGTCTTGGTGTAAGCAGTGTCATTTTTAAGGAGTCATATACTTTCTTCTGTTTTGGAGACCTGCTTGTATCCTGGACCATGGCCCAGACATATTTGCCTTTTAGAAGTCCCATTCCCAGCAGAGAGATTCTAAGATGGTACAGAGAGATACTTTAAAGTGTTACTATCCATAGTAATAGAAAACAGTGGACAGATAGATAATAAAGCCCCAGGATCATGTGAAGCTTGCTTTAACTATTCAATTTTTCATCATTCTAATCTTATAGTAAGCTTGTAAGCAAGTATATTGGCCTAAAATTTGGTAAAACTTTCAAATGGCTGTGCTTCAGCAAGATTGTTTTATTTCTCTGAAGCGTCAGTGGAGTGCTGTCGGGGAGTAACCCAGACTGACCTGCTGGCTTGGTACCTCGTAAGCCAGAGGGACCTGGGAGTGCTGCGCCTGCAGATTCTGCCCATACACTTGCCTGATGCAGGGAGCGGCACTCCAGTCATCACATCCCGAAGCCAGACTGTAGAAAAGGGACAAGGACTGCACCTCCCTTCCCTTTAGGACCTTTTGTAGAAGTTCTGTGCCTTTTTAGCTGTACTTCCTGCTATCTGCAGTGTAATCACACTCTGTAGCATAGGAAGGTGAGAAATGTAGTTTGCGTGCTAATAGCCGTAAGGCCAAAAGCAAATCAGAATAAAGGAAATAACTCCAGTAAGTGCAGTTCTGTATTTATTTTCCATCCTTTAGTCCCCCTCAAAATGAAACAGACTAAAACAATTAAATGATCCATTGAGAGAAAAAGAAGAACATACATAATACCCTGAATACTCTAAATTCACAAGTACAGCTAATGCTGTGCTGTCCAGTCTGGTAGGTACCAAATTTTGAAGGCTTAGTACCAAAAAGTGTAAAATGTTTCAATACTTTAATATTTTTCATAAATAAATGGTAGTCTTATGAATAAATCAAAAAATTGTTAGAATTGATTTTATCTATTTGTCTTACTATTTGCAAGATGACTTTTAAAAGTTCAATTTGTTCTTTACATTATTTAGTGCTTCTTGAAGTATTTTGAAGTTGGCTGAGGAACTAGCTTGTTTTTTGTCTTAGGTTGCCTACTAATTGTGTGACCTAGTTATCTAACTTCTTACTGTTAGACCTTGGTGGCATCTGTCATATATGTAAAACCTAGATAACGAATGTGAGGCACAGTGATCCGTGCCTCTAATCCCAGAGCTTGAGAGACTGAACCCAGAGGATAGGGAGCTCAAGGACAGCCTGGGCTATACAGTGAGACCCTGTCTCAAAGAAAACCAAGCAAAAATTAATCAGTGAGAAAATAAGTTATGTCTAAATGTTTTTAAGGAAAATATCTATCATTTCCGTAATTTAGAATGAGTTATGATTATTAAGAGAATAGGTTGCCTACAATTTAGCAAAATTATATCATTAGATTCTTCTTTTCCCAGCCTTGGATTTTGTTGTACTTGGTATATTTAATAATGCTGTGAAAAACTTACAATCAAAACTCTTGGAGAAATGTCACACTGTATGGCATGTTGGCAGTGAATCAATCCGTATGCTCCTAAGATGGCCTAGGTACAAATACAGCACCATTAGACTCATGGCTGACAGAAAAGTTTCTGTTTTTTAAAGATACTAATTGGCTGTACTAATTATCAGAGCTACAGTTTTCTTCTGTTTGCTAGGCCTGTTTCTTACGGATTTTGCAAGATTCTACCAGACACACTTGCTTAGTTATACCAGAACATTAGACATCATCACTGCCAGTATCTGCAATTGATTCTGACTCAGAAATACAGCCCCAAATCTGATCAGCATCTTTTTTAATCAAAGACCTTTTGTCTCACCTTGAACTGTCTCAGTCCTGTTGGACCTGCTTTCTCCTCCATTTTCACCGGCCATAGACCATCCTCCAGACAAAACAGAGGAATGTTTGCTTGAGTGTCAGCCATATTATGTCATTCCTCTTCTTAAAATACTCTCTTGCCAGGGACTGGAGAGATGGCTCAGCAGTTAACAGCATGTACTGCTTTTGCCCAGGATCTGGGTAAGGTTCTTGCCACCCACGCAGCAGCTAGCAACTGTCTTAACTCCAGTTTCAGGGGATCCGATGCCCGCTTCTGCCTCTGTGGGTATTGCATTTACATGCAGGCAAAACACTCAGGCATATAAATTAAAAATTAAAAAAAATAGAAAAAAACAAGGCTGGAGAGATGGCTTAGAGGTTAAGACCCCAGTTCGAATCCCAGCACCCACATGGCAGCTAGCAACTGTCCGTAACTCCAGTTCCAGGGGATCCGACTGCCTCTTCTGTCCTCCGCAGACATTGCAGGACATGGGTGCACTTACATACATGCAGCATTACACACATACACATAAAATAAAAATAATTTCTTTTAAAAAGCAAGATACCACTTACATACATGCAGGCAATACACACATACACATAAAATAAAAATAATTTCTTTTAAAAAGCAAGATATTCCCTTGCCTTCAAATAAAACTCCATCCCTTTGTGGCTGTGTCTCCATAACTGGCCCATGGCCTGTCCACTTTCTTATTGTTCTCAGCTGTACCCATCTTATTGTTGTCTCTAGTGTACCAAAACTCATTCTGTAGAGCCCAGAAGACATCCCTTCACACCACACACTGCTAATGCTGATGGTTCCCACGCCACCCAGCTTTATCATTTTCACTCTTCATCACTGCCTGAATTTATTTTCCTTATTTATATGTGCCTGTGTCTTTCTAGAAATGTGAACAAAATGTTTGGAGTGGGAGATGGGGTTATTCTTATTCCTGATATATAGTAATTGCATATGTATTTCTTGAAAATAGAACAAATAAATGAACAAAAGGAAAAAAATCATTGTAAATATTTACCGTTTCCTTCTGAATTGCAGTATTAGCTTTGATACCTGATTACAATGAAATCAAATGTCCCCAGCCCATTATTCTTATTTTTTGTGAAATAATGGCATACCTGTGAGATGAATAGGCATATCTGTGTTAACAAGGATATGGGCATGTTTACTTGAAAACAAATAAGAGATGATTCTGCACAGTTTATATTCCTGAACATAATACATCAAAGATTGGATTTGTTTGATTTCCAGATTGAAGACTACGATGTGATAGCTAGCATGATAGGAGCCAAGTGTAAAAAACTCCAGACTCTAGATCTGTGGCGGTGCAAGAATATTACAGAGAATGGAATAGCAGAACTGGCTTCTGGGTGTCTACTTCTTGAAGAACTTGACCTTGGCTGGTGTCCCACTCTACAGAGCAGCACTGGGTGCTTTGCCAGACTGGCCCACCAGCTTCCAAACTTGCAGAAACTCTTTCTTACAGCTAACAGGTCTGTGTGTGACACAGACATAGAAGAACTGGCATCTAATTGTACCAGACTACGGCAACTGGACATATTAGGTAAGGATGCAATTTATGAATATATTTTAAGTTTGCATACAAAGTAGTAGGTCTTATTATGGCATTTTCATACATATACAGTGTCTTACTTTATTCTTATTCATTTCTCTTCCCCACAACCCTCCCCGTTTCCCTGTAACACCCTTGCTGGTCCCTACCTTCCCCCAAATAGAACCATTTGTCCACTGATGGATATCTAGACTGAGTCTGTTCACCATTATGAATAGTACAACAATAAACGTGGCTATGCAAATATCTTTGTGATATATTGACTTAGAGTCCTTCAGGTATGTACATGGGAATGATGTAGCTGTGTCATATGTTAGTTCTGTGTTTAGCGTTTTGAGGAACCTCCTCACCGGCTTCCACTGTGGCTGCACCACTCCCAATAACGGGGAGTTTGGGTTCCTCCTTCCACTCCCTCTCATCCACACTTGCTTTCATTTCCGTTGTCATTTGTTTTCTTTTAATTTTGGATGTTTTGTTTGTTGGTTTGTTTTTGTTTTTGTGACAGGGTCTCCCTATATTCCCAGCTAGCCTGCTAGCCTGAGAATTCTTATGTGGACCAGGCTGGCCTCAATCTCAAAGAGATCCACCTGCCTCCAGATTGCAAGGATCAAAGGCGTGCGCCATCATGCCCAGCTTGTCATTTGTTTTCTTTATGATAACCATTCTGCCTGAAGTGAGACTGAATCTCAAAACAGTTCCCATATACGTTTTCTTGATGACTAATCCTATTGACCACTTTTTCTTCAAGTATTTAGTGGCTATTTATATTTCTTCTTTTGAGAACTATTTAGTTCATTCGTTGATTAGATAATTTCTTCTTTTTGATGTTCTTTATATATATTAGATTTTAATCTCCTGACTGATGTATAGTTGCCTACAATTTTTCCCCCATTCTGTAGGCTGTCTTTTTACTCTGGTAATTATTTTCTTTGTTGTGCAGAAGTTTTAAATTTTCATGTAATACTATTTGTCAATTCTTGGAATTATTTCCAGTGATCTTAGAGTCTTTCAGAAAGTACTTGCCTATGCCTGTGTCTTACAGGTGTTTCCTCTGTGTTTCCCTCTAGCACTTAAGGAGTTTCATACCTTTCATTAAGGTCTTTGGTCCATTCTAAATTGCCTTTTGTGGAGTGTGAGAGGTAGGGATCTAGTTTCATTTTTCTACAGGTAGATATCTACTTTTCCTAGCACTATTTGTTGAGGAGAATTCTTTGTGATGTATGTTTTTGACATCTTTGTCAAAAATAGGTGGCTTTGGGTACTGGTTTATTTATCGGTCTCTATTCTAGTCCATTGATCTACATATCTGGTTTTATACCAGCACCATGCTAATCTGTTACTATGGCTGTTAATTCTAGTATAAGAACAGGTATCGTGATGCCTAGAGCATTGCTCTTTTCCTTAGGATTGTTTGGGGGCCTTTTTTATTTCCACATGAATTTTAGAATTTCTTTTCTATTTCTTCAATGAATATTATTAGGATTTGTATGAGAATTGTATTAGATCTGTACATTGCTTTGGGTAATGTAGCTATTTTTACAATATTGAAGACTACTGATTTATTTATATTGATTTTTGTAGCCTGCCACTTTGCTGAAAGCATTTATCAGACAGACCTAAGAGATTTATGTGTAACCACTGGGGTCTTTTTAAGTATAGGACCATGTTTTCTGTAAGTAAGGGTACTTTGGTTCCTTCCCCCACCATCTGTATGACCCTTTGTTCTTGTCTTCTTGCTCTAGCTAAGACTGCGAGCACTTTATTGAATGAGAATAGTGAGCATGAGCACCATCGCCTTATTCCTGATTTTAAAGGGATTCTTTGAGTTTTTTTCCCATTTAGTATTATGTTGATTTAAGGGTTCTCACCCTTCATTATGTTGCTCTATTTCTTCTATTCCTAGTGTCTTCAGGACTTGGATTATGAAGAGATGCTGACAACTTTGATGTTGTCAAAGGCCTTTTTGTGCCTGTTGAGGTGATCGTGTTTTTTCTTTCCTTAAGTTTATGTGTTATATTTGTTGAGTTTCATATGTTGGACCAAACTTGCATCCCTGGAATAAAAACAACTGGGCCATGGGGTATGTTTTTTTAATGTGTTCTTCAATATAATATGGAAGAATTTGTGGGGAGGTGTTTGGGGGAGTGCCTGCGTGTGGGAGGATGCATGTGCATGTGTGCACACACTTGTATGTGGTGATCAGAGGTCAACATTGGATGACTTCCACAATCACTTCTCCATTTTACTTTTTGAGACAGGATCCCTCAGTGAATGTAGAGTTCACTGATTGGCTGTCCAGTGAGCTTTAGGATCTGCCTTTCGTTTTCCCAGCTCAACCACCATCACCACTATTCTTCCCCACCCCCGCCTTGCTAATCTCTGGTACTGGAGTAATAGATAGCCCTGCTACACTTGTGGCATTTATGTGATTGCAAAGGATCCAAATTCAGATCCTCATGATTATACAGCAACCACTACCAGCTGAGCCATCCTCCTGACCCTGTGGTATAGAAGAGTTTATTGAAAATTGTGGCATCTATATTCACCAGAGAAAATTTTCCATGGTTTTCTTTTTTGTGTGGACTTATCCAGTTTTAATACTAGGGTAATAGTGGCTACATAGAGTGAGTCTGACAGTGTTCCTTCAATTCCCTTCTATATTGTGAAACAGTTGGAAGAGTATTAGTATTATCTGTTCCTTAAAGTTTTGGTCTTTAGCTTGTCTTTGTGGGGAAACTTTTAAATTATTATTACTGCTTCAATCTTATTTCTTGTTATGAATCTAATTGTTTATGTTTTCCTGATTTAATTTTGGTAGGTCAGTATATCTAGGAATTTTCCAGTTTCCATTTTCTTCTAGATGTTCTTTTTTCTATATATAACATTTTCAAAGTATTCCGTAGTGGTCATCTGGATTTTATTGGAATTTATTCTAACATCTCTTTTTTGTCTCTAATTTTACTAATTTGAGTCTTCCTCCCTTTTGGTTAATATGGTTGGGGCGTTTAACAATCTTCTTTATCTTCCCAAAGACTAAATTTTTGTTTGAGTCTATGATTCCACGTATTTGTATTTTACTCTCCATTAATTACTGCCTTGACCTTTACTATTTCTTGCCACCTGGTGCTTTTGGATTTGGTTTGTTCTTGTTCTTCTAATGCCTTGCAATGCATCATTAAGTTATTATTTCAGGTATCTCTGTCTTTAAATATAAACACTTTGTAGCTTTAAACATTCCTGTTTTTTTTTTTGTTTGTTTGTTTGTTTGTTTGTTTTGAGACAACCCCAGCTGGCCTGGAACTCACTATATAGACCAGGCTGGCTTCTAACTCAGAGAAATCCACCTGCCTCTGCCTCCTAAGTGCTGGGACTAAAGGTGAGTGCCACCGTGCCTGGCCTAAACTTTCTTCTTAAAACTGCCTGCTCTGTATTCCTAGGTTCTGGTAAATTGTGCTGTCATTTTCATTTGATTCTAGGAATTTTAAATTTTCCTCCTTGACTTCTTCAGTGATTTAAGAGTATATTGTTCATTTTCTAAGAATTTCTGTAGTTTCTCTTGCTCTTGATTCTAGTTTTATTTCACTTTGATCTGAAGTGAGATGAGAAATTATTTCAGTTCTTGTGTATTTGTTAATACTAGAATATGATCTGCTTTTGAGACGGTTCCATAGGCTGCTGAGAAGACTGTATATTCCATTTCTTTTGACTGGAATATACTGTCAAGTATCTGCTAAATCTATTTGTTTGGCGGGGTAGTTTAACTCTGAAGTTTCTTCATTGCTTTTTAATTTAGTTGACCTATCTAAAGATGATAGTGTGATATTGGAGTCACCTACTATTGTATTGAGAGCTATCATACCTTTTATGCCCTTTAGTGTTTATTTTATGAAGTTGGGAGTTCTAATATTCAGTGCATATATATTTACAATTGTTGTATTTTCTTAATGGATTTTTCCACTTATTAATATGTAGTGTCCTTCTTTCTCTATTCTGGTTAGTTTTGGTGTGAAATCTGCTTTGTTAGATAACCGTAACAGCTATACCACGGTGTTATACCACGTTGTTTTCAGTTTCCATTCACATGATGATTGACTTCCATCCTTTGATGCTCAGTTTGTGAGTGTCTTTACCAGTGTGTTTCTTAGAGACAAGAGATAGTTGGATCTAGTTTTTGATCCAGTCAGCCAATCTTTGTCTCTTCTTTGGTGAGCTGAGACCATTCACCTTTAAGAGTGATTGGGAGATGCTTACTAATTCCTGTGTTTTAATTGGGTGTTTTCTGGTTGATTGGGTTGTTGTTTATTCTTTTCCCTTTTTCTTATTAATACTATGGTTTTGCTGGGGGTAGGAGGTTGTTGTTGTTGGATATAATAGATTCCTTCCATAAATTTGTCTTAAAGCCTATTTTCCTTGACATAGAATGGAAGCCAAAACCAACTTGCAATAAACATTTTGCTCTGATAAGACTGATTTGATAGAAAAATACAAGACAGGTATGTTGGCATAGGGGATAAGTGTGTGTGTGTGTGTGTGTGTGTGTAAAATTATGAGTACAGAAGCTTAATGTTATAGTTGAACTTGCCAAATGCCCTAAATACTTTAGGTAAGTATCACATTTTGTCTATCAGAAGAGTGAGATTATATGAGTTATAGTCTTTATTTTTGTTAAAGACGGAAAATGAATCCATTTGTATAAAGAATTCAAGTTAGTTTGTTTTCTGAATGTTAAACTCTTAAAAGTAATTTTAAATCTCCATTCCTGACAAGTCTAGTTTTCAGGAATAGTTTTATCACAAGGCAGATCCATTGAAAATCCTTCAGGGTCCTGAAATTCCTTGTGTTCTCATTGCATTCATCAGCAAGGTTTCCCAGAAGTCAGCAGTGCCACCATTGTTACCCACATGATGGTGCCTTGTGAATTCACATAGCCTTTGAACTGTGTTGTTGGCAGTATGTTAATACTAATCCATTAGGCCCTAAGGTACTCATATATCCCTTTCTTTTTAGTCACTATTCACCAAAAGGAAAACCTAAAGATTTTCAGCACCTGGGTTTTATGGTTTCAGTTAGATTTTCCATATCCAGATTTATGATACATTCATAGATGAAGCATATGTAGTTGTATATGAGTGATTGAAACCAACTTTAAGCAGAGATTCTTTAATTCTTGCCAGTCACATATAATAGACATACTTTGTACTAATGTTTCATCTGTGTTATATTTTATCTGATCTTCACAGCTCATGGAGTTGTATCATTGTCTTTTCCTAGATGAAGCTGCTGGTGGCCAGCAGTCCATAGAGCAGAGGTTTCAACTCAGGATTTGGGCCTTGTAGTCAGCATTCTGGTTTTCAATACAGTAGTACCACATTCACTTACTTTGCTTGTTTCTTCCTAACTTGCCTTCTCTCTTGAATTATCCTAGACCTTTTATAAAAAATATATTTTTTAAAGTTCCAGAAAAGTCATGAATTCACAAGAATAAGGAAAGTCAGTCAGTATCTTTTATAACACATGCAAGCTTTACTTTAGAGGATAATGCTTGTAGTTAAAATCTGTTTTGTGGCTTTCTCCTCAATACACCTATATACTAGATTTGAGCAGTAATCAGTGTCTGAAAGAGATGCCGCAGAACCACAAAGGAGTCAGGAACACTGACTGAACTATACCCAACTGTGACCAGCAAGTGGGGTCCATTGTCAGGGGGCCATTACCTTAATGGAGCACATGTGACATGGATACAGAAGAGGGGAGGCTGTTTGGGAGAAAGAAAGAGGTGGGCAGAGAGGATGGATGAGGGAGGGCAGTGGGCTGGGTAAGAACAAAGTGTAAATGACATATATGCATGAAAATGCCATTATTTTGTATAGTTAACTCTGCTGGATTTCCATTACTTTTGTTATTGTTGGGTTTTCTTTCATCCTTAAGTGTAAGAATCTTCTTTTTAAAATAAGAACTTTGTTAAGCTAAGGCAGTAGTGATTTTGTTGTTGTGTGATCATGAGTACTAAATGACACACCTACCTCACTGAAACACTGCTTGCTAGTACAAAGCTGAATAAGATGCACTCTTCCTACCTTTCTAGATTCTATAACCTAGCAAGAAGGAGGGAAACAAATATAAAAATAATCGTAATGTTGGGGCTGGAGAGACGGCTCAGCAGTTAAGAGCACTGGCTGCTCTTGCAGAGGACCTGGTTCGATTCCCATCACCCACATGGTGGCTAACATCTGTCCCTAACTCCAGTTCCAAGGGATTCAGTGCTATCTTCTGACCTCCGCAGGCATTGCACAATACAGGCGCACTTACATACATGCAGACAATATACTCATACAAAAACAAAAATAATAAATAAAATGCAAGCTAGGGCTCATTTTATTGAGGCCTAGGGGAAAATAGGCATACCTAGCTGGCCTGAACTCAATATGTAGACCAGACTGGCCTTGAGCTCACAGAGATCTGCCTGCCTCTGCTTCCGAGTTCTGGCAAAATTATTAGATATTTTAAAGATATCCTTGGAAGGTGAATAGGAAATAGGGAGGGGATTCTAAGTAGAAGAAATAGCATGAAACAAAAGCACAGAAGTTGAAAGTACATGGTGTTTTCAGAAAGCAGTGTTCTGACTTGACTCATGGCTGCTTTCATGGAGAGTTTGAAACAGATGTGGAGCCTGTACAAAATTAAACAAGGAATAGCTGATATAGACTCTGATTATGGTGCTAGTGATACTTTCAATTCATACTTTCAGAAAACTTAGAAACAAACAGCAGGTGAATTAGAGAAAAAAGAAGTCAAAATCACAAAAACTTGGTGCAGTAATCCATTTAACAAATGCCCAAGTATGATGATATTGGGAAATTGTCCATTATTTCTGCATTCCTTCATGCATACACACTTACTGACCATGAACTCTGTCCAGCATTGTTTTAACCAGGAAGCTATGACATCACAGTGAGGAAGATAGATGTGGCCCCTGTCCTGGTAGAGCATGCTGACCGAGTATACAACCATGTTCTAAGTGGATAACAGAAGTACCAAATAGCTTACAATCATAGGACAGGGAACTTGCCTAGTTAAATTTAAACCTCTGATTTCCTGCATTGTTTACCATGGTTTGTCAGGAAACAGATCCTAATCGGCAGGGCTAGCAAATAGAAAAACATCACAGTCCTGGGTAAAACAAAGCAAAACAAACCCCACTACATAGCTAAATGTCTAAATTAGGTTCACTGATTCACTTAATAGAGGCTCACTTTAGATAAACTGTTATGAAGACAGTTTTCTTCCTCAGACCCCATGAGTAGAAACCACAGTCAAACCTCAGAAGGTCCTGGGAAACACATCAAAAAGTAAACAAAACAAAACATTTCTTTCCCTCTCCTTTTTCCTTTTCCTGCCCTACATGTTCCTCCTCTACCTCTGCCCTGCCCTGCCCTTGGCCAATGTATCTACAAAGACTTCCTTCTGTGCTTCCCACCCTGCTTTTGTGTGTTCTCTTCTCATAAAAGCCATATCTGTGTCTCTGGGCACACAGCCAAACAACAGTGCCAGGCCAGCTTTCCATGTTCTTTGGAAATGGGATTCATGGACTCTGGAGACCTTGCTGAATCCCAATTCTGAGTTCCCTGGGGGAATCTGGACAGGCTTAGCTTGGGACCAGATACAAACAGGTGGCAGGGGGCAAAGTATAATTACAGCTCTGGAGTCTGTGAAAGGGCAGGGAGCAGAAAGGAATTCCATGGAATGAGGTCAGGTTAACGTTTCGATATCCTAGTCTGGGATTGTAGCTCAATGTAGAGCACTTGCTTCACATGCACAAGGCTCTAAGTTTGATCCCTAGCACTGCAAAATCCAAACAACCCAAATCTCAGTGCCTTGTCAATAGATGTGCATATGTGGTATGATCGCGATTGTTTCCTCCAGAAAAGCTGTAATTAAAGCAGGGCATGTTTTACTATAGAGCATTTCCTGGACTCACGTGATACTTGGTTTTTATTGCCTGCCATGTATCAGATGCTTTTCATAATTTATTTAATCCAGCTTCCAACTGGACATCCTATAATCACTCCAAATTTAACGCAAGCAAAAATGACTTGTCATGCATTATCTGTCTTCTAGCAGTACCCTTTTATAGCCACCACATACTGTAAGACAGTGAATGAATTGTACTGTTTTCAGCCCTGGTCAGTGAGTTCCCTAAGGCAGACAAGTGTCATACTCATCTTTCCATCCCCAGGCCTAAAACAGTTACTGAAGACTGTTAAGTAGAATAGTTGGCCAATAACACCACAGTGTGTGATTAGAGGGTATATTATCAACATTGCTGCCTAATCTGGCCTGTGCGTTAAGTAAAATGAAAGATGATAAGCCTTTTGCACTGTGGTGACAAGGTAGGAAAGTCAAGGTGATCAGAAAGGTTTAGAAGTGTTTAGAGATGTGGTTGTCTGGGAACATTCAGTTTTTGTTTTGTTAGGCAAAAACCATTTAATATGAAGTATTTTGTTTTTACAAATGCTTCATTTTAAAAGTTCATTTATTTTATGCATACTTAAATAATAAAGAAATTCACTATTAAAACATTTTATAGCAGCTTTGTTTTGTTTTGTTTTTCTAAACAGGCACGAGAATGGTAAGTCCAGTGTCCTTGAGAAAGCTCCTGGAGTCTTGCAAAGATCTTTCCCTACTTGATGTGTCCTTTTGTTCTCAGATTGATAACAGGGCTGTGTTAGAGCTCAATGCAAGTTTTCCAAAAGTCTTGATAAAAAAGAGCTTTACTCAGTGACTTAATATGTTGTCATTAAAATCTTTGATGGGGTTTTATTGGGGGGCTGGCTTTGCTTTTTGTTTGTTTCATTTTAAAAGTAGTGAAAATTAAAACATTTGTAGATTTTAAAGAGAAATATAAAATTCTGCAGTGGATCTTGTAAAAATGTAAAGAAATGGTCTTAAAATTATTACAAGCACTTTTCTTTAAGAATATGTGAATGGCTAATGTTATTTTCTTATGTTAATCAGTGGTATGCTTTAGTCAATAATTATGTAGTAAAGGAGTACTATGGAAACCTTTTAACTTATTTTTCAAGGAATTTTTGAACAATAAAGTATTGTGTTATTTATGAAAAATAAAGTTGATTTTGCACACTTCCTCTTTGTAATGATGTTTTATTAAACCTTATGACCTGGCAAGTGTTTTGTTTGGCATATACAAAATTGGAGAGCTCCTTGAGCGTGGGGGCGCCCAGATTGTACTCAGAGGCGCAGCACTTACCTACCTCCAAAGCACAAAAGTCCAAGTACACAAAATTGTTGGAGAGCTTTTCTTCTATGTAGTACTGTTACTCAAATACAGTTGGCTTTTTATTATTTTTTATTTAGTTATTTATTTTGAGACAGGGTGTTGCTATGTAACCCAGGCTGGCCTTGAATCAAGACCCTCTGCTTTAGTTCCCAAGTGAGATTAGTTTTTCAAGCTGACATATTAATTGTTCAGCTGGAAAAATAGTTTTTCTACTTATATTTGCATTTGTCTTTCACTACTGGATAATACCAATATAAAAATATAATCATATTCAAGTGCAGGAGATAAACTACTAATTGCAATAGTT